TTTGAAATCCCCTAGCTGCCTTCTCAGAATAAAAAACTGCAAAGCCCCAGGAGTCTAGGCTGGGGGATGAGATTACAATTAAACAGTGATGACTAGTTTGAGTGTTTCAGAGGTACTCTGCACAGGACAAAACAGCTGTGAGAGTTTGATATCTGGTATCTTAAGATTCAGGTCTCATTCAAAGGCTGCTCTGAAAGCCCAAAACACACACTCCATCAATAACATGTGACCTTTTCTTCTCTTGACATAGAATAGCCAGTACATGATTTACTCTCTAAGTCCCGTTCTGCCCACTGTCCCTGTGAAGTAGTGGAAAGGAGGACGAGTGTACCACCCACCAGGGAGCCTCAGAGCTGGAGGAGAATCAGCCCAATAAACGTCCTCTAGCTCCTCCCCCCAGTTGCGGTTGAAAACAGCCTACAATTTCCCTGAGGAGCGGTTATGAATAATACCAAGGCCATTCTGGAGAATTACATCTGGAAGTCAACAAAGGCAATGACTTGGTTCTCGAAAATAGAGAAGTGATGTGCATTTTTGCTATTTAGTCCTAGTCTGGGAAAGAAATTCTATGTGTGAAAGAGGCATCAAGGGCCTAGAGATCTTGCTTATCTTGCTCGGGAGATGGAAAGCCCCAGAGTGGAGGAACCTAGGTCCTAGGTCGGGGGCACCAGTTCTTTCCAAAAGTGCATAGTCAGATGTGAACGGAGCTCAAAGGAGAGGCAGTGGGGACAATGACTTAGCACGCCCAATCCTATAGCAGGCTCTAGGGGCCCCACAGAGTGAGTGATCAACAGAGATACCACGTCCTGAGGGCCCCCCCCCTGCCATGCTGGGCAAAGACATCACGAGAAGACATTGAATGGAGAGGAGTTCTTTGGCACTGGGGGTGTAAATGACCTTGGCCACATGCCTCAGTCTCTATTTCTGAACTTTACGTATGGCCTCTCTTCCTAATGATAGGCACTTGTGATAGAGTGCACCCCAAATTTGTGGGAGGATGTGTTTTTCTGCTGCTTTTCTTACTGTATCATTTCAGTCTATGCCTTTGGGTTGAGCTAATTATGTTGGCTGACTGATTAGAGACAAAGTAAATAAATACACCAGTGGGGACCCATGAGCTATGGTTTTAGGGCCTCAGTTTCTTCATCTGTAAAATAAGAGGGATGGATTAGATTATTCCTAAAGTCCTCATTTCTAAAATTCTGTTTTAAAGTCCCACTTAAGTCTGATATTTTATGTTCTAAAGTCTTTTCTAGCTCTGACATTTGATATTCTTCCAAATACGATATTTCAGCATCTGTGATGCTGAAAATGTCCAAGAAATATTATTGTTGTTCAGTTGTTTCAGTCATGTCTAATGCTTTTTGACCCCATTTAGAATTTTCTTGGCAGAGACACTGGAGTGGTTTTTCATTTCTTTCTCAAGCTCGTTCTACAGGTGAGGAAACTGAGGCAAACAGTTAAGTGACTTGCTGGGGTCACACAACTAGTAAGTGTCTGAGGCTGGATTTGAACTAAGGTCTTCCTGACTCCAGGCCCAGGGTTCTATCCACTGAGCCATCTAGCTACCCCACCCCAAAATCTATTTCTTCACAGCCTCATGCCAGCCAGTCTCACAGTGTTCCTAAGAGCTAGAGTACTCCATAGAGAGATAAATCATTTTCCTGCTTGGTAAGGATGAAGCATTACCAGAGCTCTTTTTTATTTCCTCATCTGTAAAAGATAGGAATTAGACTAAATAACCTCTAAGGCTCCTTCTATCTCTAAATCTATGACCTTGAGATCAAAGTAAATTAATCTATCAAGAATGGAACAGAAAAGGTCAGCTTTCAGTAGGGTAGCTGAAATAGAATGGGAAGAGGGGAAGTATCCCTGACTCTCAGCCACCAGGGTCTTTACAATCTAACCCTTAAACCTAAGATTTTGATTGATTCATAATAAAACTGTCTAATAGAACCATTCTGTCCCCATTGAGGCAGCTAGGTTGCTCAGTGGATAAAGCGCTGGCCCTGGAGTGAGGAAGACCTGAGTTCAAATCAGGCCTCAGACGCTTACTAGCTGTATGACCCCGAGCAAGTCACTTAACCCTGTTTGCCTCAGTTTCTTCATCTGTAAAATGAGCTGGAGAAGAAAATGGCAAACCACTCCAGTATCTTTGCCAAGAAAACCCCAAAGGGGATCATGAAGAATTGGACAAGACTGAAAAACAAACTGAAGGTTTCCAAGCAGAGCCAGTATGATTTCTTGTGGGAATGCAGACAGGATTTCTAGTTTGAGTAGGGACTGAACTAAATGACCCCTGAGGTCATTCCCCACTCTAAGATGCTATGATTCATAAGTTTTCCTAAGCCAAAAAAACTCTTACCACCTAGGAGGGATCAGGGGAAAAAACAGTGACAAGGAAGGTTGAAGGAATAGGAGGGAGAGGAAAGATGCAACGGAAACTGGGATTTATTAAAAAGCAAGAAGGAATTAGGCTGTTGGAAAACACTGAAGACCCCACAGTAAAGACAGGGAACACCGAGGGGCTGAAGTATTAAAAGAGGTCAGGGCTAAAAGAGTTTACTTTCTTTGTTTATGGGGAATTACTCAATCCTGAAAGATTAGGAATAGAAAGAATGCATGGCTGATAGCCAGCTCCAGATCTCCTGGAGAAATATGGACAGGGCTGGTTCATGTCAGGACAGAGCAAAATAAACTTTGAGGCTCTCAGGGGTTTGGAGGAGTCCCAGGCCTCGAGGTTACTAGGGTCCTTATTTTGTAGGGCCCATCCATGAAAGCCAGCCTCTAGGCCCGACGTCCTTTTACAATCACTAGATGTGTGCACACACCCTCACATATACAGTTAGGAACAGACTGAGATGATGAACCCTCTACTCTAATAAGAGTAATATTTTCTTCAGTAATGTTTTTTCCCCAGGACCTACCATGTATTACTTCTTTTGTTTTGGTTTGTTTTTTTTGGTTAGGCAATGGGGTTAAGTGACTTGCCCAGGGTCACACAGCTAGTGAGTGTTATGTGTCTGAGGCTGGATTTGAACTCAGGTCCTCCTGAATCCAAGGCCAGTGCTCTATCCACTGTGCCACCTAGCTGCCCCTCAGATCGAGCTCCTTTTATGAAACAGCTCAATAATAACATAAAACAGTCCATGCTGAAGACTGAATGAGCGATCCAGAGAGATCAGTGAGGCCTGAGTAGAATGCAAAGTGCCAGAGCTGGGAGGGACCTTAGAGATTCTCTAGCCCAATTCTCTCATTTTAAAGCTGAGGAAATAGATGTCAGGAGGAGTTGCATGCGTTTTCAAAAGGAGCAAAAAGAAAAAACCCTACAAATTTTAAAAAGACACAAGTTATTTTACCAGACCAAAGCACAAGGACAGATCAACGTGGACTTTAATTCAGATCTTTGCACACGACCCAAAGTATTAAACAATTGTCCTTTCTCCTATTCTGACTCTACAAACTTTACCCTGGAGAGGCAGCCCCCCTACTATTTTCCCACTGTGGTTTCTCTGAATTCTTGGAGCAGGCTTATGGAAATACTTGGCCTGTTTGTAGGCAGATTGAATCAAGGTCTATACTCCTGGGAGCTTCTCTCCCTTTACTTGGGTCTCCCCCTACTCCCCCTCACACACCCAAACCCTAACAAAGTCACATGTAACAGCACATCTCCAGCAAGATGAGATCAGTAAGAGGGGTTTCAGTTTCAGGAAGGGAAGCTGGATAAGTCTGTGCCTGAATGCAAATGTAAAGGGAAGAAGAGAGAGTCATTGGGAAAGATACTGGTGATGCAGCTTCCCCAAGCCAAGCTTGTATCTTGGAATAGTGCACAGATGGGGAATACCCAAGGGAGTGGGGGAAGGCGACCAGCTCCAAGCATCTTTGAGCCAGCCAACATTCCCTGTGGAGATGTGCAGGGAGGGGGGTATGGGGTACAAAGGTGCCTGACTGGCCCTTGAGCTGAGGACCCCAGCTGAATTACCAGCGCTCTATATAAGATGAGGTCATCAGAAGGAACCAGTGATTCTGAGCCTGCTACCCCATGGGGTAAATTGGTGAGGACTATGGAAGACAGGAGGCAGGTTGTTGCCTGAGCCTGGCCATTTTCCAGTATTTAATAAAGCCTCTGGGAAAGTTTCTAGGAGAACAAGCTTTCCTGAAATAGAGACTATTCGGGTTGGAGGTGGAGGGGAACCTGAACAGGCATCTATTGGATTAAGGTTAGTGAATGGACAGAGGAGAATGAGTAGTAGATTTGAAATCAGAGGACCTGGATTTGAACCCCAGCTTTGATACTTACTGCTTGTGTGATTATTAGTTGTATCAGGTCACCTCTCTGACCCTCAGTTTCCTCTTCTGTTAAATTGAGTGTGTGTGTGTGTGTGTGTGTGTGTGTGTGTGTTTGATGCTTTTTAAGGTCTTTTTCTACTTTCAATCCTACAATACTTCTAATATGACTATAACTAGGTTGGGTCCCCAAGGCAAAGTTCGAAATGGGGTAGAGGCATGGAAGGAACAACTGAGTGGGGAAGTGGAGCAGGACCTGAAGTAGGCAGATGAGAAGAGAATGATGAGGAAAGAAGAGTCAGGAGCTAAAGGACCTGGGCAAAGCCTAAAGCCATGGAAGTAGTACGGGACTGGAACTCAGATGACCTCCACTGGAGTCCCAGCTCTGCCATCCACTAGTTCTGTCATGGTGGGTAAGTCACTAGCCCTCTCTGCGCCAATTTTCTCATTCGTAAAATGGGAATAACGACCCCCTGAGACATACCTCACAAGACAGGATGTCCTGAGGATGAAATGAATATTTATCTCCATGGATGTGGGAGCTTCCTTGCCCCTTCCCGTGGTCTCTGGCAGCATCCAGCCTGCCTGGGCCTGATCGGTCACGGGCCGCCTAGCCCTCCCCCCACCATTCCTCCACATTAGTCAGCCCGCCCCAATCCCTCCCAACTCAGGAGGGGAGGAGAGGGGCGGGTGTGTGTGTGTGTGTGTGTGTGTGTGTGTGCGTGTGCATGTGTGTGTGTTTGTGTGTGTGTGGTGGGGGAAACGGGTTGCGGCTCGCGCCCTATAAAGGCGGCAGCACTCGAAGTAGCCCTTACAGACCCTGGCCCCGCTTCTCTTCCCAGATCAAGGCATTGCAGGCAGGACGTGACTGCAGCCGACCCCAGCCCCTTTGGCCCCGCCGCGTGAGTCTCAACGCCTACCCCATCCCCAACCCCCCATCCTCGCTCCCCTCCTCCCGCCCCCATCATCGCTACCCCAGGCCAGAAGTCTAGACCTCACACAGAGTCGGGGCTGGGGGAGGAACTGAGGAGACTGGATATACGCAGAAAGGGGCTGAGGACGCTGTGGGGAGGAAGATGGGCAGAGGATCAGAAGGTCTGGACTGGGGCTAGGACTGGGGCTGGGGGAGCCCAGGCTGCCGGACAAGCTCAGATAATCTCAAACTGTCCTTCCAGGAGCCTCTGGGTGCCCCCTCCTCCCCATGGGTTTGGGCCGAGGGGAGAGGCTTTGTAAGTCAAGCCGGGGAGGGGTCTGTGCCCTTTAACTCCCAGACTGGAATGGGGCAAGAAGAGAACTTGGTGAAAAGAGCCCTGGGCTTTGGGAGCTGGGAAACCTGGGTTCTGGTACAGGTTCTGCCTTGAATTCGCAGCTAGACAGACCTTGGACAAGTCATTTTCGATCTGTAAGAAAATAAAGGGGGTTGGATAATGAACTCAAAGGGTTCTTTCATTTCTAATATTCTGTATTCTAAAGTTCCTACCAGTATTGGCATTCTATTTTCTGTGTTCTAAGGTTCCTTCCAGTTCTAACATGAAATATTCTAAGGTCCTTTCTGCCTCTGGCATATTATATTCTAAAGTCCTTTCAATTCTGACATCCCAGGATCTATCTTATGAGTTCCTTCCAGCTCTAACATTCTGGTTTGTTTGTTTGTTTGTTTGTTTTTAACATCTTAAGGTTCCTTCCATTTCTAACTTTCTATTTTCTTGTATTCTAAGGTTCTATTCATCTGTGACATTCTCTCTTCTGAAGGTCCCTACCTGTTCTAACATTCCACGTTCTAAGTTCCCTTCCACAGCAGTCATTCTGAAATTCTCTAGACTTCAGGGATGGGAGAAGGCACAGGAGGATTCCATTTGGCCAAGGAGCTCAGCTCTTTAAATTTCACTTTGTACTGGGCTGCCCCCTTCCCTGAGTGGTGCCCTGGATACCACAGACTGTCCCCAGGAATGTGTTTGCTCCTGTTACCATGGAGCAAGGCTGAGTTTCAGGCGTTCTGTTGCCAGGAGGCTAGAGGAATGGGGGGATGGGGTCAGTCACCCCACTAGTCTTAGCCTGTCATGTGGCTGCTGCACAAGAAGCTTTGACCCCCATTATTCTCCTCCTCCCCCAAATCCTATGGGGTAGAGGAATGTGCAGCTGGAAGATGAGGTCCCAGGACAGGTCTCTGTACTGTAAGACAGACTGACATTCCCAGGAAAGGCCTGGCTATCAAGGATAGGGAGAAAGTTGGAGGCCCTTTCCCCTTGTTCCCTGTCTAGCAGTACTAGGTGAATTCTCTCAGGGATCTGACTACCCCTTGAGCTGCATCTGAGTCCTGAGGCCTGAGTTGCCTTCTCTACCAGGGGCAGATCCTGCCCCCCACTCCAGACAGATATAGGGAGCCCTGAGGTCCAGGGGAGGGATTGCACTTGTCCACCTGTGGAAGAATGAATCTTGTACCCATGTTTCCCTCAGGTCAGCCCAGCCATGACTCCCCTCTGGGCCCTCTTCCTAGCACTTGTAGCAGTCACTCATGCTGAGACTCCGGGGTGCAAGATCCGGGTAACATCTAAAGCCCTGGAGCTGGGTAAGGTTATGAGACAGGGGGCCAGCCTTTCTTTGGTCCCTGAGACTTGGGGGAGTTGGGAAATGAGAGATTCCCTGTTCAGGAGGGAGCACTGGGGCTACCTGTCCTTTTCTTCCAACAAAAAAGCCTGTGCATCGTGGTGGTGGGAGGATGAACCTGGGGGAGGAGAGAAAGGAAAATATTTGGTGGGAACAGTTACCAGTTCTAAGGGTCTTACTATCTCAGTAAAGCAAGAAGGACTGAAGTTCCTGGAACAGGAGCTAGAAACCATTACCATCCCAGACCTGCGGGGCAGCGAGGGCCCATTCTCTTACAACATCTCTGAGTAAGTGGTGCCTGGAATTTGGGGGTCCTGGCTCAAAAGCTGGGGGTGGGGTACAGTGGGGGGAGTGAGAATGGGACTGTGCTATGGCTGAGCTATGTCTGAAGTCATTCAAGTCAGAATTTCTTTACTTGGACACAGCACACCAGCACACAGGTGTAGATCTGAAAGGACCCCAGAGGTTCTTTAGTCCAACCATCTCATTTTATAGATGAAAGCTTTGAGGCCCAGGGAAGTTACTGGGTCACAGTGTTTCTCGGCTTTGACAGCCCATCTTTGCCAAAGGCCTAGGGAGCCTGTGTTTATTTTTGTTTGTTTGTTTGTTTTGTTTTTAGGCAATTGGGGTTAAGTGACTTGCCCAGGGTCACACAGCTAGTAAGTGTTAAGTGTTTGGTCTGAGGTCACATTTGAACTCAGGTCCTCCTGACTTCAGGGCTGATGCTGTATCCACTGAGCCACCTAGCTGCCCCCAGTATTTGTATATATTTAAGCTTGTGAGAGTTGGAGCCCAAAGGGACTTTGGACATCACTTCTCAATCCACAAGCATTTCAGCACCTGCTATGTGACAGTGTGCTAGGCCCTGGGAAGACCCCAGACTTTCTTGGGAAGGGTACACTACGTACCCATATAAGTAGATGCAAAAAAATATGCAAAGTAAATACAAGATAATTTGGTTGGGAGGCATTGGCAGTCGGGGGTGAGAGACCCTCCATGCAGGTCACTCTATCTCCCATTTCATTGCCTCTGTACCATCTGCCCTCCTCCCTGGAGTGCTCTCAGTCCTGATCTCCCCTCTTAGAATCTCTGGCTGCCTTTGAGACTCAGCCCAAAATGCCACCAATGGTAGTAAGAACCTCCCCCCCAGCTGCTAATGCCATCCCCTCTATGATTACCTTTCTTCTACTCTCTGTTTATCTTGTATGTGCCAGTTTATGTATATGTTCACTCACCCATTTAAAAGCATTATTTTGAGAGGGGATCCAGAGGCTTCACTAAATTGTCAAAGAGGTCTATGACCTAAAAAAGGTTAAGAACCTCTGATCAAGTTCAATCAATCAATCAATCAATAAACATTTATTAAGCACCTGCTGTGTGCCAGGCACCATGCTAAGCACTTGGGATACAAAAAGAAGCAAAAACCAGTGCCTGCCATCAACAAGCTTATAATCTAATAGGGGAGAAGACATGCTAACAAATATATACAGGCAAGTTATATACAAGATAAATAGGAAATAATTAACAGAGAGAAAGCACTGGAAGGGGTTGGGAAAGTCTTCCTGTAAAGAATGGGATCTTAGTTGGGACTTAAAGGAAGCTGGGGTGGGGTGGGGGTGGTATAGTAGGCAGAGTTGAGGAGGGAGATTATTCCAGGCATGGCGGATAGCCAGAAAAAATGCCCACAGCAGAGAGATGGAATCCCAGCTCCCAGAGAGGGGATGTGACTTATCCAAGGTCACATAGTTAGTTGCAGAGCTAGGACTCTAATCCAAGCCTCATGACTCCTAGTCCAGTAAGTATTGTTTTCACCTTAGAGCACTGCCTATAACAGAATCCTACCTACTAGAAATCCCGGGCATACGTCCTCATCTAAAATTCTGGTTTCATGTAAGGAAGTAAATATCTTTGAGCCTACCTCCTACTTCCTCCAGGGTCTGGGTCAGGAAGAGGTTCTGAGGTCAAGTCATGGAAGGAATAGAAAGGGTTTGGGCTCATAAATGTGAGTCTCATTTCTCTCACTAACTTAGTGGACAAACTTGGATAAGTCCCCACACAAGATGGTTGGCTGAAATAGCTGGGGGTGCTTTTTTCTTTTTTGAGCGGAGAAGACTTACTGAAGGTAACAATTCAAATCTTTGAGGTCTGCTCTCATGGGAAAGAATATTTAGACTTGTTCTGCTTGACTGCAGAAGACAGAACAGGAAATAAATAAGGGGAAGATGCAGAGAGACTTGTTTCTGCTAGAAGAAAGAAAAACCTTCCATCTGTCCAAAAGAGGAATGGGCTGCTTTGGAAGACAATGTTTCCACATAAATGGAGTTCATCCATTGAGATCATATATGTGAAGTGCTTTGCATATCAAAACACTATATATATATATAATTATTATTATTAATTTTACTTGTTCAAATGGAGGCTGGATAATCACTTATCAGGGAAGTTGTAGAAAGGATTCCTTTTCAGAGGTGGTCCTTTCCAGTTCTGAGATTCTATGCCTCAGTGTCTTTCCCTGTAAAACAAAGTGGCTAAGGTCCATTCCAACTCTGACATCCTACATGTGGCACAGGGGGGACTTTCCAGGGAGAGCTAGGTCATTTATTATCTTTCTTCTCAAATTGGGTTGAATGACTGGTGAGGTGGTCCTGCTCTCATAATGTTTATAGGGACAGGGAAAAGAGAGGAATCTAAAGTTTTGCCAATTAGTCGCATCTGACTCTTCATGACCCCATTTTGGGGTTTTCTTGGCAAAGATACTGGAGTAGTTTGCCATTTCCTTCTCCAGCTCATTTTACAGATGAGGAAACTGAGGCAAACAGGGTTAAGTGACTTGCTCAGGGTCACACAACTAGTAAGTGTCTGAGGCCACATTTGAACTCAGGTCCTCTTGACTCCGGGGCCGGCATTCTACCCACTGCACCACCTAGCTGCCCCAAACCAAAATTACTAGGGGCTATTCCAGCTACCTTGTTTTTCTTCTGAGGAAACTTAGCTCTGAATGGGGATCTAAGGCTGGGGCGCCCTGGATCTGAGCCTCCCATGCTCTCTGCCCCTCTAGGGTGAAGGTGGCCAAATTGCAGCTGGTCCAATCAGAACTGTACTTCCAGCCAACCCGTGATCTGATCTTGTACATCAGCAATGCCTCCATCAGCCTTCGCTTCCGGAGACAGCTGCTCTACTGGTTCCTGTGAGTGCGGGGGCGAGGGCTAGGACAAGGATGGGGAGAGGAAGTGAGGGGGAAGAGGTTGGACAGGAGAGAGGACAGGTGAGCTAGAGGGGTGTGGTGGGGTTTATTTGTCTGAGCCCCTTATTTGCACCCCAACTCTTGGAGGCAGCCATGTGGTACACTGGCTAGAGCTCTGTGCCTGGAGTCAGGAAGAACTGAGTTCAAAAGCTGCTATAGACACATGCTAGCTGTGTGTCCCCGGGCAAGTCACTTAACCTCTGTTTGCCTTAGTTTCCTCAGCTGTATAACAAGAGTAATAATAGCACCTACCTCCAAGGGTTGTTGTGAGGATCGAACAATATTTGTAAAGTGCCTGGCACATAGCAGGTGCTCTGTAACTACTTATTTCCTTCTGATTTTCATCTGTTGGCAGTTATGATGGGGGCTATGTTGATGCTTCGGCTGAAGGTGTGTCTATCCACACAGCCCTGCAGTTGGCCAGAGACCCTGGTGGGCGAATTAAAGTTTCCAACGTCTCCTGTGGAGCCTCTGTCTCCAAGATGCAAGCTGCCTTCGGGGGGACCTTCAAGTGAGGCCTCTCCTTGGCTCCAGAACCCCATTCCTTCTATCACTGTCCATATGGACTTTCATTCCCCTTCCTGGATGGGAGAGAGCCATTCCTCAGCCAACAGGATAGTGCTGGATTTGAAGGGTCTTTATTCAGCCTATGCCTAAATTGTGGTTCAGGGACAGAGTGAGTGGGGAAGAAGGTGGTTGGTACTAGACCATAGTAAACAGTCATTGAGTGTTTACCATGTTCTTAGCCCCATCTTAGGCACTGAGAGAGAATGAATGAGACATGTTCTTTGTCCCCATAGAGTTTAGTGTCTAACTGGGTTGGGGGAGAGGCAGGACACATACACAGTTATTAAGGTAGAATACATTAAGGATGTGAAGTTTCACAGGAGTACAGAAAAGGGAGATATCACTTCTAGTTGCTGGGTGGGTGGGAAGGAAGACTTCATGGATGAGCTGACCTTGGAACTGGGCCTTGAAGGTAGGACTGACAGGTGGGCATGGGAGAGGGCATTTCAAGACAGGGAACAATGTAGCAGAGGGATAAGGTTGGGCCTGTTTGGGGATAGGGTGGGGAGGGTCCGGTTGGAAAGGAGTGGCTCTTGTGTGAAGGGGAACAGTGAGAGACAAGGATGAGGAGGTAGAAGTTTGGGCCCTGTTGTGGAGGGCCTTGAATACCAGGCTGCCCAGGCTCCCCCTTTCCATTCCCTCAAAGCTACCCTCCTTTCCGCTCTTTATACTTATTCTTCACTTTTCCCACATTCCACTGGGTTACAGATGTTGAGGGTGAGAGAGAAATGGTGAAATGTGTCTTGAGCCCTGCCTTCTCCCCCACCCCCATCAGGTTTGGCCCTGCTTGAGGATCTGCTTTGGTATCGAACTTTATCTCTTCCCATACCCCAGATTCCCCTAGTCAATCCCCTCCATGCCTAGAAAGGATAAGGCCAGGCTGGGACATGGTTTACAGGGCTACTCTTCCCTCCTCCCCCCTTTCCCTGCAGGAAGGTCTATGATTTCCTCTCCACTTTCATCATCTCAGGCATGCGTTTCCTTCTCAACCAACAGGTGATGCTGGAGTCAGGGCAGGGAGGGACCAGGTGGCAGGGGACAGCCAAGGGATGGGAGCATGAGGGATGGCTGGAGTAGGTCAGAAGATGGAGAAGGATAAAGATTGGCGGGTGGGGATAATGTGCAGAGAGGAATCTGGTGCTGATGCTCATATTTCGGCCCTCAGATCTGTCCTGTGCTGCACCATGCAGGGCTGGTCCTGCTCAATTCCCTTCTGGGCACAGTCCCTGGTGAGTCTTGGAAATGGGAAAAGATTGGGATGTGTCTGCTTTTGCCTTCTCTTCCTGTCCCCTCCCCCACCCACTCCCAGCAAGTCTACTGGGGACGAAAGCTTGAAAGTTGGGAGTTTCTGTCCAGAAGTTTAGCAAGCACATAGTTATCTCCAGGACTCCCCAAGATGAGGAAGCATAGCAGAGTGGGATGAGCATTTGAGGGAGATGGGGGATTATGGGTGCAGAATGTCACTGCAGTGGTGCTGTGTCTCTGCTTGACAGGTTTTCTGTTACAAAGTGGGGTTTGTGTGTACATGTATATATAAGGAAATGACTGCTGTAAAAGCCTGTTTTGTCTTTCTGTTTGTGAGAGACAGAGAAAGAGAGGAAGGAATGGGGAGAGAGAGAAAGTGAACACTCTAGACGTGGACTCAAGAGGCTTGGCTCTACCATTTGCTTACTTGTTGACCTTAGGCAAGTTACTTTTTATGGGGCAGCGAGGTGGCACAGTGGATAGAGCGCTGGGCTTGGAATCAGGAAGACTCATGTTCCTGAATTCAAATCCAACCTAAGACACTTACTAGTTCTGTGATCCTGGGCAAGTCACTTCACCCTGTTTCCCTCAGTTTCCTCATCTGTAATATGATCTGGAGAGCAAAATAGCAAACCACAGCAGTGTCTCTGCCAAGAAAACCCCAAATGGGTTGGTCTCGACTGAATAACAACAGGGCAGGTGTTGTACCAGGTGGTAAGGATACAAAAACAAAAATGAAACTATCCCTGCCCTCAAGAAAATTATGTTTTATTGGTAGAGACAACAGGCAGCCATATAAGTACGTACAAAATATATCCCAAATAAGCATAAGGCAATGTAGAGGGTTCACGTCTTGACTACAGCCAGCACTTGACAGCTTTATGACTTTGGGAAAGTCATTTTTCCTTCTCCGAGCCTGAGTTTTTCCTCATATATAAAGCAGAAGCAATGATACTTACCTTAATCCACAAGATAGTTGTGCAGGCAACACTTTTGTAAGCTCTAGAAATGTATAACAATTATTTTTTGCTTGTTGTTATTCAGTCTTTTTCAGTTGTATCTGACTCTTCGTGACCCCATTTGGGGTTTTCTTGGCAAAGATACTGGAGTGGTTTGCCATTTCCTTCTCCATCTCATTTGACAGATGAGGAAACTGAGGCAAACAAGGTGAAGTGACTTGCCCAGGGTCACAGAGCTAAGTGTCTGAAGCTGGATTTGAACTCAGGAAGAAGAGTCTTCCTGACTCTAGGCCCAGTGCTCTTACGACTATATCACCTAGCTGCCCTAATTACAATTATTATTAGTGTCTTATCTCAACTAGCTGGTGAGCAGGGACTGCCTTGTTGACAGGTTCTGAGCAGCACTTGGCCCTCCTTGAACATTTACCCGTTTGTTGGTAGCTCTGGGAGAGAGGGCACCAGATTTCAAGGCACGGGGACTTAAATCTAGTTTGTGTTTTCTTTGGGTAGAACTGTGCCACCCTTTGGGCAGAAGTGAGATCTCACCTTACACTGTGGTCTCTGGCCTCTGGTCAGGTGAAGGCCCTGGGTGCCCTTCCCCCTGGCCTGTCCTTGTCTCCCCTCTGGGTGGCATCCAGCACACCTGTTTGTTTGTCTCTTTGGGGAGACAGAACAACTGACTTTCAGGCAGTCCTCTAGAGATTACAAAACACTGAACATGAATGATCTCATCTGAGAATCACAACAACCTTGTGGATAGGTATTGTTACAGAGAGTAACAGTCATAGCTGGCATTTACTTCGCTCTTCAAGGTTTGCACAGTGATTTACTTTTTTTCATAGATTTTGAGCTGGAAGGGATCTAAAAGGTCATGTAGTCAGATCGCCTTCCTTGACAGAGGAGGAACTGAGACCCTGTGCGGTTAAGTTACTTGTCGAAGGTTCTGAGTTCACTCAGATAGATAGTAAAGACTGAACCAGGATTTGAACCATGGTCCTTGAATTCCAAACCCAGCATTCTGTACATTACACCACACTGCCTCTATACTTGATCTCACTTGACCCTCATAACAAGCCTGTAAGGTAGGGGCTGTTTTTATCATCCCCATTTTATAGCTGGAGTAACTGAGGCCCAGAGAATTGCGATGACTTTCTCATGCTCACATGCCCTAGTGAGTGTCTGAGGAGGGATTTGAACCTAGCTTTTCCTGACTAGAGTCCCCGGCTACCTATCTCTTGATACATGGGAAGGAAAAGACACAGTACCCACTGACGGGGAGCTTGAGTCGATGTGGTGAGGAGAAAAAAGAAACTCGACTGACAGTCAGGAGACCTGGGTTGGAGGCCTGCCTCTGCTACTCTCAAATCTGGAGGATGGTGGTTTAATGCCTCTGTTGCTCAGTTTCCTTTCTCTAAGGTGAGCAGCACCCTTATACTTGCACTGCTTACGAGGGAATGTTGTCATAAAGAAAGTACTTTGTAAACTGTAAAGTGCTGTAGAAATAGGAGTTGTTAAATAAGGTAATTATAACTCCTCTATGGCATAGCAGCTCAGGCTAAGTACAGTGCGTTCCACAGTTACGCAACACTTTACAAAGGATCCTGGCATTTAGAGCTGGAGAGGACTCCCACTTTTCTAGCTCCGGCCTCTCATTTCACAGACCCAGGGTCTGCTAGGTGGTGATAGAGCACTGGCCCTGAAGTCAGGAAAACCGGAGTTCAAATGTGACCTCAGATACTTACTAGCTGTGTGACCCTGGGCAAGTCACTGAACCTTGATTACCTTCTCTCCCCCCACCCCCACAATATAAAATGAAATAAAGAGGAAACCCAGGCCCAAAGAGGAGTGTCACATGCCCAGGATCACACATGGGCAGTAAGGAGCAAAAGCAGACAGCAGATTCGGACCCAGGACCACTGACTGTAAACTCATTATAGCCACAGTCTCATTTGAAGAGAGGTAGTGCAAGGGTGGGTAGGTGGCACAGTGGATAGATCACCTGGCCTAGAGTCTTGCTGAGTTCAAATCCAGCCTCAGACACTTACTATCTGTGTGACCCTGGGCAAGTCACTTAACTCTGTTTGCCTCAGTTCCCTCATCTGTAAAATGAGCTGGAGAAGGAAATGGTCAACCACTCCAGTGTCTCTGCCAAGAAAACCCCAGTTGGGTTCATGAAAAGTCAGACATGACTGAAAATGACTGAACAAGTTAGTGCAAGTGTTATCCCCAAGCTCACATAGCCAGTTAGTGGCAGAGAGGAGATGCAACTCAGGGATTAGGTAAATGAACCATTTCTCTTCAGACTCTAAGTCCCCGTTCTGGCCACTGTATAGCCCTGCCTCCCAGGAAGCAGAACTCCATGGAGGCTGCCTCATTACAAGTCATTGAGTTGGTTGGTTGGTGAAGTAATAAACAAACCTTCGCATTTAGTACGCAGTACAGTGGACCAGTATGTTGGCATTGACTATTCCCTCCTGAGCGATCCAGTGACCTCGGCCAGCAATCTGGACATGAACTTCCGGGTGAGTGGGCCCCCATCCGAGTGTTCTCTCATTCAAACATTCGTTTTCGGGATGCTCAGGCTGAGATGCTCTGAGATGCTCAGACCTTCCTGCCCCTGTCCCTCAGGGAGCCTTCTTCCCTCTGGTGGAGGCCAACACCAGCTTCCCTAACCGGGCTGTGGAGCCTCAACTGCAGGAAGAGGAAAGGATGGTCTATGTGGCTTTCTCCGAGTTCTTCTTTGACTCTGCTATGGACAGTTACTTTCGAGCTGGCGTATTCCGGTTGGAGCTTGTTGGGGACAAGGTGAGATGACGTGGCAGGGATGGAGGGGAAGGTGTAGAGGGGTCCCCAAGTGGTGGTATTTGACCCACTAATAGGCTGAGGCCGACATGGAGCGGGGAGGACATAGTGTGAAGGAATGAATGCGGGTGAAAGAATCTTTCTGCCTTGCCAAGTGGGGAGCTCCCTGTTGCTGGAAGTATTCAAAAATAAGGACGATAGAGAAAACTCAAGGCAGAGGACTGGTCTAGTTGACTTCTAAAGTTTAACCCACGAATTCTTCCCTTTCCTCCCCCCACCCCCATCTCTCTTTTTCCTTTTCTTGACTCAGGTGCCTAAAGACCTAGACATGGTACTGAGGGCCACTTTCTTCGGGAGCATCATTTTGTTGGTGAGAGGGATGGGAGGATGGAATTGGCTGTATGGGAGGGAGAGAGAATTCACTCTGAAAAGGGAGGGGATATAGGAGATGCTTCCACATAGAAGTTTAAGTATACACTCCAACTTTATGGAGTGAGTGCTCCAGCTGAGGGGCTCACGAGGAGTCTGGAGCCCCATCTCTAGACGGATGAAGAGCCCAGGATTTGGAGTGAGAAGATCCAAGTTTGAGTTCTGACTCTACTACTTAATAGTGACTTTAGACAAGTCATTGCACTTCTCTGGCCCCAGTTTCTTTATCTGTAAAGTAACAGGGAGGGATTAGATGATCTGTAAGGTCCCTTTCTGCTCTAAAGTATAGGAATGCTTGGTCTTAGTCCACAGAACAGGTATTTCAAAGATCTGTGATTTTTGTGGGCACCTTCTCTGCCAATGCATATTGTAACCCCTCTATAACTTGATAAATGCTTTTCAAGAATTGCTGGGGCCAAAAAGCATTGGCACCCTGGTCATAAGCCTCCCTGAAGTTAGCATGAGTATATATTATATATAATATGTAATTATATATATATATATATATATATATATATATATATATATATATATATATATATAAATATTAACTCATGTAATCTCAAACTCCTATTGCTCCCTGTTACCTCCAGGATCAGAGAAAATTCAGGAAGGCATTTCTAAATAGCCTTCTTGGGGGGCTGCTGAAATAAATTCCTCTGTTCAGCCTTCAAGGTCCTTCATCTGGCCTCTTCCTGCCTATCCAGTCTTATTACACTTTGCTCCTGTCTATGTACTATATGATCCAGTGACTCTCACTGTTCCTTGAATGATAACACTGTCTCCCCACTCTCTGTACCCTGACTGTCCCTCATAGCTGGAATGCTCCCTCCTTACCTCCACCTCCAGGCTTCCCTGGCTTCCTTCAGGACTCAGGTCAAACATCACCTTCTACACGAGGCCTTTCTCTCCCCCAGTTAGTGCCTTCTCTTCTATATATCTTGTGTGTATAGTTACTTGCATGTCTCCATTAGAATTCGAGTTCCTGGTGGGCAAGGACCATGTTGGGTTTGTTTTTTTTTTTGTATTCCCAGTGCTTAGCATGGTGCCTGGCCTTTAGAAAGTACTTAATAGGGGCAGCTAGGTGGTGCAGTGGATAGAGCACCGGCCCTGAAGTCAGGAGGACCTGAGTTCAAATCCAACCTCAGACCAAACATTTGACATGCACTAGCTGTGTGACCCTGGGCAAGTCACTTAATCCCAACTGGCTAAAAAAAAAAAGTACTTAATAAATGCTTATTGACTGACAGGCTCTGGCAGTGATGGTGTATCCCAGCTGGATAGCAAACAGCAGACCCTGAATTCGGCCTTGTTAATTGGTCCTCCTCCCATTGCTGCCCCCACCTTTTCCATGGCCATCCCCAGGCGTTGCCATCCAAACAATTCTTCTTCACCATTTCAGAGACTATAACAAATCTCCAAACTGTAGAGCTGTAAGAGACCTTAGTAATCATTTAGTTCAGCTCCCTCATTTTACAGATGGTGAAATGCAGACAAGACATTCATGTCTTGTCTGAGTCTCAAAGGTGGTGGTAACAGCCAGAATTCTAACCAGGGTATCTGACTCCAGATCACCATGCTTCTTTCCATGACATTGTGCTGTCCTTCCTACTAAGCCTGACCTTAACTTGTCTCCCCTTTTCTTTAGAGTCCAGCAGTGATAGATGCACCTCTAAAGCTGGAGCTGCAGGTCCTTGCACCGCCTCGATGCACCATTAAGCCTTCAGGCACCACCATCTCTGTCACTGCTAGCCTCGTCATTGCCCTGGCACCGCCTGACCAGCCTCAAGTGCAGCTGTCCAGCATGACCATGGTTCGGTGCTGAGAGAGGGTGAGGGGAGAACTGCCAAGGGATGGGAGGTGGTCTGATCAGAAACATCACTGCCCCCTCCTTTCCTTTAGGATGCCCGTCTCAGTGCAAAAATGGCTCTTCGGGGAAAGGCACTTCAGGCCCAGATGGATTTACGCAGGTAACAGAGGTGAGGGACTGGGTGTTGAGAAGGAAGCACAGGCCTCCAGCACAAGCCCCAACGTTTTCTTCCATTCTTCAAAGGTTTCGAATCTATTCAAACCAGTCTGCCTTGGAGTCCCTGGCAGTGAGTAATGGGAAGTGGGATGGGGAAGAGAGAAGCCACAGGAGGGGGGGACCAGCAAGCCTACCAGAAACCCATCCCTCATTTCTCCCCCCCCCATCCCAGCTGATTCCCCTGCAGGCACCACTGAAGACACTGCTACAGATTGCGGTGATGCCCCTGCTCAATGGTAAGCCAACCTTCTCAGGGTGGAGGATGGGGTGGGGAGTTGGGCAGAGTTGGGGAAAGGGAGGCCCAGGCTAGGCAGGTTACAGAATCAGAACCTGGAATTAGAAGGGAATGTAGACATCATCTAGGCCAACCCATACTTGAAGAAGACTGTCCTTTACAACATCTACAAGTGATCCTCTAAACTTCTACCGAAGACTAGTAAGGGAGGAACTCACTAACTGAGGGAACTTCCTCATTTTACAGAAGTCCCAGAGAAGGTAAGTGCCTGGAGGTCATACAGCCAGGAAATGGCTTACTCACTCCTTCCAAGACTAGCTTTCACTATAGCCTCACTTCTGGTCTCTGCACCATCTTTAAACTCTTAGGAGCTGGAAAGGACCTCACCATCATCTAGTCCAAGCCCACCCCTCAAGCAGGGATCCCTCCACAGCTTCCCTGGGCAGTAGACATCCAGCCTCTACCTCCTGGGTCAGCACCCCATCCCATCAGATAACAGCACAGGCATGGGCCTGAGCTGGTATCTCTGCCTCCCTCTAATGACTACCAGTGGGTCCTGGTTGTCCTTTGGAGCCACACAAGAATGTGTTCTATTGCTTTCCTTTCCCACAGAGCGAACCAAGCGTGGGGTGCAGATACCACTCCCTGAAGGAATTGACTTTGTCAAAGAGGTGGTGACCAACCAGGCAGTGAGTGAGGGTTATACAGAGTGCTGGGGAAGAAGGGGAACTCTGAACGCGTCTTCTCATATCCTCTCTCCCCCTGTGAACTCCAGGGATTCCTGACCATTGGGGCTGATCTTCATTTCACCAAAGGTCTTCGAGAGGTGATTGAAAAGAACCGGCCATCTGGTGACCTCGAGCCCACTTCCTCTCCACCTCAACCTGTTGCCCCTGCCTCCTGAACAGGCTTCTGGGAGGTTGTCATTCATTCATTCAAGCAAGTCCAGTCTTTTATTCATGAAGTTCAACCTCCCTTTTTTCTCTTTTTCAAACCGTATGGAACCAATCCCCACCCCTTTAATAAAGCCCTCCCTGTCCCCAGTCAGGCACCAGAGACAGAAGTGGGCTATGGACCATTTATTCCCATAGTCAAGCCCTGCCCTCTCCCCTCTCCCCCAACTCTAGCTCCTACAGAGGGGACGTATGCATAGTCCTGAGCTCCATGTTAGCTACGGAACAGTGCATGGTGACTGCATGCAGGGGGTCCTCTAGTACCCCCCCCCAAAAAAAGGTCTACCCTTAAGAATAAAAACCAGGGTCAACTCATACCCTCAAGTAGCTTGACTTAATCCCCCTATTCAAATTCCTGATTGATTCCACATGGGAAACTTGTGCACAGCTGGCCAACCAAGGATTCCCTTCGGACAAAGAGACTTCAGCTGGCTGTGGCCAGGCCTCAGCCCCAGGCAGGCAGCAGGGGCTACTGGCTAGCTGGCTCTCCTATGCCCCCCACTGCAGGCCGAGATGAGACTCAGTAGGGCTCCTTGCTCAAGAATCTCGTGAACATGGTTAAAGCTGCCAGGGGCTTGTCGGTGGGCACCATGTGGCCAGCTCCCTGGAGGACAAAGGGCCGAGATGTAGTAAAAGTTCACTTTATGAACCTTAAGGTGCTTTTCTCACATTGACCCCAGGTGATACAAGCACCCCATCTTAAAGAAAACCGGAGTTCAGAGATGTGGAGCGACTTGTTCAATGTCCCACAGACAGCTAACAAACAGCAGAAACCAGACTGAAGGCTAGGCCTTCTCACTGCTGGTTCCCGCTGCTTCCACCCTGAACCCTCCAACCTGCAGTCACTCAAGCTCTTGATTCTCAGACAAGCTTTAAGGTGCCTCCATCCCCACCTTGATGTTTGTCTCCTCCTCATGCCATTACCCAGGAGATCTCTGACCCCCCAGCGCTTCCACCCTTTCCTCTTCACCCCACCCTCAACCCTCAGGTACCTTGATAGTGAGGAAGGCCATGTTGGCAAACTCCTTCACGAAGCCAGCAACTTGCTCCCCATTTCCATCAGACACTAGCCATGGACGACGCTGTACTTCAACCTGCCTCCAGCCACCCAGGAAGGATGTGGTCAGTAAGCACCGGGGCTCCCCGGAACTCTTCTACCCGAGAACCAAACCAACCAACCAAACTCAAGGCAATAGCCGCCAGCTTTCTGCCCGGCTGCCCCACGGCTTGCTGCCTGCACTGCTCACCCCAACCTCCTTACTCGTCCAGCTTCCCCACCTTTTGGTTCAAGGAATCCACAAACCACTCATCTCCCATGAAGTTACAAGCCATGTCTACATCCCCGTTGTAGACCAGGATGCGGTATTTCTGTAGGAGAATGGAGGGGAATGCCAAGTTATAATTCAGGTTATAACTCCTGGGCTTTACAGGCAGATTACCTTCCCTGCTCACCAGTCAAAGGCTCTCCCTTAACACAAGGTGGAACAGAGAAGGAAACTGAAGGAGTCTGGGACCCTAGCTCAGGTCTTTGAAGTGCCACTAACATGTAAGGTGGCCTTGAAAGAGGAATTTCCCCTTTCTGAGCCTCAGTTTCCTCTCCAGTTCTAACAGACAAGATACAGGATCTCAGGATGCTCCAGCCCCACTCACCTGGGCACTGAGAAGTTTGAGGTATTGCTCATTCATGGTCTGATAAAGGCGCTGATAGTTACTGTTCACCACAAAGCTAGCAAAGAGAAAAGGGGCCAGAAATATAGTCAGAAAGGTGGCATTCCAGGCCTGGGAACTGTTAGTCTAGTCTCAGCACCCCTACTGATACTGTGTAACACTGGGGCTCAGCTTCCCCCTCTGTCCAATAAGAGAGTTGGACTAGATGGTATTGCTAAAGTTTCTTCTGCTCTAAGGTCCCTCAGCTTCACACTCAATGACCACTATGACTTCCCTGTCCTTACCACCCTGTTCCCCACCCCCATCTTAGTGACATTAATCAGCCCACAGCCCAGGCCTCTCACTTGCACATGTCCCAGCGTGGGACAGATTCAGGTATATGTAGGACCTTTCTCACATAGGGGTTGTTTAGATAGGTGGAGGGCGCCGTGGTGTTGGTGCAGGGTGGGTCTAGCCGTACCCTTGCTCCAGTTCTCAACAGTGCCTGCTAAGAGAAAACAGCTCTTGCCACTGCTGTGGCCTTCCTGCCCAGGTGGGCCCACATGGGTGGCTAGCAGGAAGAGGACATCAAGTGTAGTGATAGCACGCAGCACAACAGAGAAGAGATGGGATACAGACACCCTCAGCTTTAGTAGAAAAAAATTTGCATTTGGAGGCCAAAAACTCAAATTCCAATGCCGGCTCTACTACCCATATGATTCTGAGCAAATCACTTTCCCTCTATGGGAAATCTATGAAATAGGTAGGTTGGACTACATGGTCTCAAAGGTCATTTGGTTATAAATCTTAGGATATTCTTTGAGCTCGAGAAAGGGATAAAATCATTCTTTTGGTCCCTGGGGGAAGGGTAGAGATCCAATCCATTTTACCCACTATGATATCTTTGCCATGAAGAAGTATAGACAGTACTTTTGTGGCTGAGCTCTAGCCTAACACCCTTCCCCAAACTTACCTGGTGCCACATCCGCTTGATTGACAATCGGGTGAAGAGATTCCCCATGTCCTGTATTACCAATGTATCCTCATCCCTGTGGCCAAGAGGGTGACCATGAGTCCTGGAATGGGGGTGGCATAGGGCCAGATCTCCAAAGGGAGAGATCCCAGGGCCTCCCCATGGCAGCACCTACCTGGTGTGGCCAGGAACCCCACCAGCACAGGGAGCATAGAGGTTGTAGATGTTGAGCCCTGAATTGCTTACAATACGAGACACCTCCAATAGCTACAACAAAGTATGTGTGTATATTGGGGGAGGAGTGAGAAAGGCAGAGGGGCTGGGGGAAGGAAATGGGTGTTTTGACACTAGTAAATATATATATACACATGGACACCTCTGGTCTCAACAGCCCAGAGAGGGGCAACAGAAACTCTAAGGAGGTTTGGCAGACAAATCAATGTGGACACACCTACAGACTAGAAGCCCAGGAGGTTTAGTCTGAGAGGACTGTGGGGACTGAGTAGATGAGGGTGGAGAGGACAGGGAAAGAGAGGGAAGCTCACATTAAGGGTACAGGTTGGGTCCTGGTTGTCATGGAAATTGCATTTCCCCTGGGAGCAGCAGTGAGTCTGAAGGGCGGACCATAGCCTGAATAAGATTAAAGTGAGTGACCCAAAAGGTAGATATGAGAAGGAACACCTTCCCTCATTCAAAGGACTAAATCACACTGGATCTATGTCATTCCCCCCTCAACATTCATATTCCAGGGAAGTCCTGTTCTGATGAATACCAAAAGCAGTTCTGAAGAGAAAAAGTAGTCACAAAAGAATCCTATTCTCAACATTTTTTTATCTTTTCTAGTGCCTGGCATGATGTTGAGTATTCAGTAATCACTTAATAAATATTTTAACCTGGCAGTATTTGCCACCCACCCTTTCCCTTTATCAGCTTTAAAAATCCAGCAGGCAGCACCTCAATTCAATTCAGCAGACATTACTGCCACAGGGTTTGCTACTAAATATGTGTGACTTTACAGAATCGACTTCTCTTTTTGAGACTTATTTTCCTCTTCTGTAAAGTGAAGGTGCTGGATAGAGGATCTCTAAGTTCCCTGCCAGCTCTGAACCCTAGGATCTGATATGTAGGGTCCTGTGCTCAGAGATACAAGAAGGAAACAAATCCCTGTCCCTGACCTCAAGAAATTAACATTCTAGTGAAGTGATGACATTCCCCTGCCCCCACCCTTGCCTTCTCCAGCCCTACGTTGAGCCTGGAGCCAAAGGCCAGATCAGATCAATTATCTATAAGATCCTTCCCCACCCAGTCCTGTGAACTAGCTATTACTTCATAGCTCTCATTTCTCTAAACAGATTCCCCCTCACCTGTTGCCCAACAGCCCATGGTAATAGGCAAAGTAGACCAAAGAGTTATCATTCTGTTCATAGCAAGAGAGTCCATTGCCCACAGCCAGGCCCTGTGACACACACACACACACACACACACACACACATAAAGAGAACTCAGTTTTGATTAGGCTTTTCCAAGGGTCAAGGGTAATGATGATCCCCTCCTCCTCCTAAGACCTCTCCCACCAAGACCAAGACAGACCCAAGAATATGGAAACAGCACAAGGATTTGGCTCCTGGTGTGTTTCAGAGAACAGAAGGATGATAAAGAAGTACGGCCCAACTAAGAGCACAGCCTCCTTCCCAGACCCCCTTACTTCTAGATTTTCCTCCTTTCTCACACCTGCAGATTCATGCTGGGATCCTGCATGACCAACATAGCCAGTGTAGGGATGTAGATGCCAGCATAGCTCTCCCCAGTAAGAAACAGCTGATTGCTATGGTACTCAGGGAAGAGGCGAAAGAATTCTTGGAGGGCTTCATAGTTGTTTTGGGCAACCTAGGCAAAGAGAGTAAGATAGCAGATAAGTAATACTGTATAGAATGGGGGGGGGGAGGCTTGTGGAGAAAGGCTGAGAAGGGTGGGGGAACAACTAGCAAGGCTCACCTCTGTGTCGTTGGTCACATAGTACTTATCATCAGAATAGGAGAAGCCCACACCAGCAGGCGATTCAAGGTACAGCACGTTGGCATTCTGGGGATTGTATAGGAAAGAGCTGTAGGGGATTCTTTGCTTCAAATTCCCAAGGTTTATATTTTGCTCTCCCTCTCTATCATCTTCTCTCCCTCACTCCCAGTAATTAAGGGCTCTTCCCCTAGTCCTACCAAGTTCCAGGAATAAGGGTTATATTCCAAGGTACTTCCATCTGGTTGGATCTGAGGAAGGAAGGACAGTCCTAGTTAGGTGTCTCTCTGGCCAGAAGAATAATAGGGAAGGCGTAGTAAAGGTCTTGGAAGAAGGCCTTTTCTAAGCCTCTCTTTCCCCTTTAAACTCAGTTCTTCTCTCCAGTTATCCTTTGATGCTGGAGGTAAAGGGGAAGTGAAAAGACAAAGAGATGAAAGAGAAGGAAGATGGAGAAGTAGGAGGGTACTGACCAAGAAGGGGCCATGCTCAGTGAGGAGTCCATCTAAGGAGCTGCATCCTGGACCCCCATTGAGCCACAGAACCACTGGACTACTCTGAGGACGGTTCTGGGATTCCACAAACCTTCAAGAGAGGACAGTCTGAGTAGGGATGTCCATCCACACCTCCAACCCCATCTTCCGGACCCCCAGCCCTTCCAGGTCTTAGGTCAGTCGGTACCCCC